GCACGCTCTCATCTGCCATGATGACCTTGTTCCAGATCCTGTACACTGGAATCCTTTGGGGTCCGGTGTGGGATGCCCTGCAAGACGATCCTCACTCTGCGTGGTTGCGCTTCGTATTTCTGCTATTTGTGTCCTTTTCTTTGATAGTAGTGGCCAATGTGGGAGCCAGCTTCCTGTACACCCTGCAGCAGCACGCGGGCGAGAAGGAGAGGGACACCCTAATCCAGAATGAGATTGAGTCCAAAGAGGAGTTTTTGCGATCCATGGCCTCGGTGTTTCAAGATGTGGATCAGAATGGAAACGGTGCCATCAGCTGGACAGAGTTCCAGCTTGCCTTGGAAGACGAGCGGATGTTGGCCTTCCTGGCCTCGTTGGGGCTGGAAATCTGTGACGCCATTGGGCTCTTCCAGGTCTTGGATTCTGACTCCACCGGCTCAGTGGAACAGATGGAGTTTCTGCTTGGCTGCCTTCGACTGCGCGGCGGCGCCAAGACCATGGACCTGGTCCGAATTCAGATGGAGCAAGAATGGGCGCACAGCGCGCTGCAAGGGGTCACAGCCACGCTGGCACAGTTGCAGCATGCCGTGAGCAAGCTCCGAGTCGGTCAAGCCATTTCCGTGCAGATCGACGATGACGACTTCCTGTGCGCGTCTGAGTCCAAGCAGCCATTTGCCCAACCCAACCCATCAACGCAACCCAGCTTGGTGACACCAACCAGGAGGTACCGAACTCAGTTGCAGGCTCAGGAGCGGGCGTTGACACTGCAGGAGCTGAATCGCGTTGCAGAAACCACCGAGTGGGCCAGAACAGAGGGATGGATTGCCAATGGCAAGCCGATCCACCCTGATGAAGTGAACCTTTACCACTTCAACTATCACCACATTCTGCCGCAGACCGCCCCCGCCCATGGGATCGTTCTCAAGGCAGACTTGGATGACGTGTCGCGCCGAGTCGCGCCTGGCGCGGAAATTCTGCAGTTCGTTGCTGGGGCACCGACTGCAAGTGGCGAGATCTTGCGTGTGGAGGCTGGAGTTGGGCCCGTGAACCTGTTTGTGAAGCTCATCAAAGGCCGCTTTACCACCAATGCAGCCGATGGCAGCCTTCAGGTTGGAGGTCAACCCCTAACCGCGCTGGCAGTGACGTGCGAAGGCTCGTGCAGCTACAAAGAGCTGCTGTCATCTACAGCGAGGCTTCCCATGTGGTACTGTCGGAGGCTTAGTTTACAGTTACAGTCTGCAGGAGAGGCTGGGAAAGCAACAGTGATCAAGAATAGAAATGCTTGATTAGTCCGTCATGGGTGCTCGCACTGTTTTTTCGGAGGTGCAACTTGTCGGAAGGACTTTCTCGGTGGACATTTGTTGGGACGTGCGTGCCTGCGTGCCTGCGTGCCTGCGTGCCTGCGTGCCTGCGTGCCTGCGTGCCTGCGTGCCTGCGTGCCTGCGTGCCTGCGTGCCTGCGTGCCTGCGTGCCTGCGTGCCTGCGTGCCTGCGTGCCTGCGTGCCTGCGTGCCTGCGTGCCTGCGTGCCTGCGTGCCTGCGTGCCTGCGTGCCTGCGTGCCTGCGTGCCTGCGTGCCTGCGTGCCTGCTGTGGGTGTGTGGGTGTGTGGGTGTGTGTGTCTGTGTGTCTGTGTGTCTGTGTGTCTGTGTGTCTGTGTGTCTGTGTGTGTGTCTGTGTGTCTGTGTGTCTGTGTGTGTGTGTCTGTGTGTGTCTGTGTGTGTCTGTGTGTGTGTGTCTGTGTGTGTCTGTGTGTGTCTGTGTGTGTCTGTGTG